GTAAGAATTTTTTTTTACGTTCGAAGTAATTCGGTCAGATTTTCATGAGTTTAAATAGTTTTCATACAAAATTTGTCCTCCAAATGAACAGTTAAGTGTTAGGTTTCCAAAACAAATATAATATATAAAAGGAAAATACTTAAGAGATTTATAAATGAAAATTGTATTAATTCATTTATTTTACAAAAGTTAAAACAGCACTAGATAAACGTTTAAAAATACATTTTATATACGTTAAAATTTTAAAAAGAAAGAAAAATATAAAATATTGAAAATGTTTTTTACATAAAAATATTTAAATCAAATAGAAAAAAACATAATAAAAAATCATCATAAAATCATAACAAAACAAATTTTTAACAAATGTAAACTTTTTATTTATTAAAATCAGTACTTGGAAAAATTTCTTTTTAAATGGAACTCGTTGGTTTTCTGTTAAAAAAATAATTAAAAATCTGCTATTATTATTATTATTTTGATGTGAAAACCTTAGTTTAAATTAAAGTATAAAGTACAATTTAATCAACCTGTGCATAGGAATCATTTGAATTAATTGTTACGGTAGCTAAGTCCCCTTTACAACCCTAGTTTTTATGGTTTTGTATAATAATTTATTTAATATCATACAAAACTTTTAATATATTATCTTATTATATAATAGAACAAGGAAAAAAACACTTTTCTCGGAAAATTACTTAGCGTGCTCGGATTATCAAAAATTTTTTTTTCAACAAATGTGTTAATATTAGTATATTAAAATTATAATATGTTGATATCATAATAGATATCTCTATTATAATTCAATTGTGATATAATTAGGATTCTCAGATTTGAACGCTAAAACTACTATTAATAGTCATTCTAAAAAAAACCCCAACCCAGTGGGGTCGTGGCATAGTGGGGACGTTGCATAGTTGGGTCCAGTATAGGTTTAATCTGACAGTGATTAAAATCACTATCGTAAGAAACGCTTCGATGCAAATCTGTAGATAGTGTTTAATTTTAAAAATTTGATGGATAATTACAAAAGCAACATCAACTTCTATTTCCTTAATTATACCCAGATTAGTAATTCTTTTAATTATATATTATATAATTTTTCAAATTAATTGTTTTCAAATTATTATTGATTTTTATTTTTATATGTTAAAAGTAAAAATTTTGAATCTACTTTTTTTGTCCTTTAAAATTAAAGTTTTAATAAAAAAAAAAATGAATTTGTTACCATAACTTTTAGCTCAACTCGCAAGTTTGAAATTGACATTATTAAATAGAAAAAATGAAATTTTTAAGATTAATATGCAATCTGGAAATTTTATAATTATTATTTACAGTACATTTATTAGAAAAATTCGATTTTTTTGCATTTTTATCGTAATAGATAACTAAAATAGAAATAATAGTAATCATTTCCTAATAACTTTTGGTGTTTAAAAAGATTCTACAATTGAAATATTCAGAACTCAATTAATTTTAATGATTTACTTTAACTAAATGAACCAATCAAAACAAAGTTATTAAAAAAATTTACTCAATTGAGCGTATTATAAAATTTGATTATAATTGTAAAAATCCATCGTTAAATTCAGGTGAAACTAAAAATCATTTTTTTTTTAAATTTATGATATATATAGCAACATATTACAAAACAATTTAGAATATTATAGACTGGTAGTAGCACACACAAATAGAGTTAAAAAATTAATAAATTACAATGTAAAATTATTTACTTTTGTAGTTGAATACTTGTATCATATCAAATCTAATTCGACAATAAATACTTTAAAAATATTAGAAATTAATGATTTAAATTGTTTTTATGGAAAAAGCTGGTTAAGCTATTTTTTATTTGAATAAGGAATATTTTTTCGATTTTTAAGAGTAATAACTTAAACTTAATACGAATTGTATTTGACGTATCGTTGAAAAAATTAGGTCTAGTGAGGGTTGGCAAAATAAATCGTAGCCACAAAAAGAACCACATAGTAAAATAATATTAACATGAATATAAATTTCTTTTCACGAGGGGAGACTATAGTGATAGGATCCTTTATATTTATTGAAGTTATTGAATCTAAATGAGGTAAAAATCAAATGATTTTAATATTTTATTCTAACTCAAAAAAAATGCAAAATATTAATTGCCACAGACGGATTTCAACCTAGTTCCCTAAGTGTGAAAGACACAGGTGTTACCGAAACGACAACTGTTCATTGCTTTCGTCGCATGATATTTAAGTTAACTCAAATTTTAAAATTACTTTTTCGACTTTTAAAAAGAAAAAAAAATTTTAATAAGTTTAATTTCTTAACTCTTATGAACTTTATTCTATGTCAATTAAATTATATAATATTCATGAAAGTCAGTGTATTCCCCTAATAAGATATTTTAAAATAAAATAAAATACAAAACCCAGAATTTTAATAAAAAATACCATATTTTTGAATACGTTAGCCATTTGCGCATAGAAGATAGGTCGTCGGGACAAATTTTTTTTTTTAATTTTATAGTACATGACATAAGATTTAATTCGACATATGTTTAAAGGACGCAGTATTTCCGGAACATTTTCAAAAACTAAGTTGAAATAGTTAGTTTTTGTAAAAAAGTTGCTATTTTCAATCCCCCCCAATGAGCAGGTTAAGTATTAGATTTTCAAAAAAATGATATTAAATAAAAGGGAAATATCTAAAGTTTTAGTATAAAAAAAAAATTATGTTGATTTATTGATTTTTGAAAAATTTATGGAAGTTTTAAGAAAAAAAAGTGAAAAAAATGACAAAATTTACCGATTATTAAATTTGTAATTTTTTTGGATATTTCCCCCATTTGCGGGGAACGAGGGCAAATTTTTTTAAGGGTAATGTCTTCAACTAGATACGATTTGTGATCTTTTGACGTATTGTTGAAAGAAATCGGTCCAGTGAGAGCTGACAAAAAGTGGCAACAGACATAAAAAAAAAAAAATCATATCATAGTAAAATTAATACCTTCTCAGCTTCGCATCAAAGCTAAAATACAGATTATAAATTTTTCATTGATAATTATCAATTATATTATAATGTAATATACGTATATGCCAAGCAATTGTTATATTATTTGACATATTAACAGAGAATTTTTGTAAATATTCTAAATTTTTTATTACTTTTCATATTATATATTCCTTTCTTCTTACATAAATTTTTTTATAATTTGGATCATTTTCCTTTGTACAGAGAAGGTTCACAATCGAATATACGACTAAAAAGTAGAACTTTTCCAATGTAACATATAACAATTTTGGAAAATTCTCCAAGCTTTAAACATATGTTATGTACTACTAAAATTGTCCATACACTATCTTCTTTATGCAAATGGCTGCAAAAAAAACATACTATTTTTGTTTACATACATATTTAACTAGCTTATGAAATAAAAAATTATCTAATTTGAAAATGACTGGTCGATAACATTTTTGACGAAAATTATAAATATTTAAAATATAGAGTAGTGGTGAGGTATGTTATATTATTTTTATCATTCCGAAGTAATATTTCAAAAGTTGTTAAGTTTATTTTGGTATAAAAAATTTATAAGGCTTGAACTATTTAACACTGGTATTGAGAGTCAGATTTATCGTATACTTTTTAACAACTAATAAAGAAAAAGTGTCATTGATATGTAAATATTCCCCCTCTCTCAAATAAATAAACCTTTAGATTTCCACAGAGTTTTTCTTTACAAAAATATACATCTAAAAAATTTTTTTTTAATACCCAAATATTCCAAAAAATTAATTTTTTTCTGATTATTCATTAATTTTTATTTTGTTGCAATATTTTAAAACATGAGTAAAAATGAGCTTGAGTTGACAACTTTTCATGAGCCACACTGTATACAACGAGAAAAATTAATAAATTGGGTAAGATTAACCTTTTTTTTCACACAGTGATTATTGGTGTATGTATTAAAAACCCAGCACAGGGGGGTCGCGGCACAGTGGTGACATGGCATAGATGGATCAAGTATAATGATATCTGACAGTGATTAAAATCACTATAAGAAAAAAACGCTTAGATGCAAATCTTTAGATAGTGTTTAATTTTAAAAAAATTGGTGGATTATTCCAAAAGCTACATAATTTGCTAGTTCCTTATTAATATCCTGATTAAGATAATGTATGTCGAATGAAAAAGGGATTATTAAAAAATATTATTTCTCATAAAAAAATTATGTTGATCCATACACTTTTCAATATGTCATAGCATTATAAAGTTAAAAATGTCAAAAATAAAATCGAGAATTTTCACACAATAATAGCATTTGGTAGCCATTTTCACCATGAAGACAAAATAAAGTGAGAATTTTTTTTTTTCATGATAAAGTATATTACATTAGCTTTAATTTAAGATATATATAAAAGTGTCAGACTTTCCGGAACATTTTCAAAAGTCAAGTTGAAAAAATTAATTTTTTTTGAAAAAGTTGTCATTTTAAATCCCCCCCTGTGGGCAAGTAAAGGGTCACATATAAAAAAAAAATATACCAAATGAAAGGTAATGATATCATGCATCTATATAAAAAAAAAAATTATATTGATTCGGTTATTTTTAAAAAAAGTTATGGCAATTTCAAGTAAAACAATTTTCGAAAATTAGCGATTCTTAAATTTGTAATTTTTTTGGAGGTTTCCCCCAATTACGGGGAACGAGGGAATTTTTTTCAATTTTTGAGGGTAATGTTTTCGACTAGATACGATTTGTGATCTTTTGGCGTATCATTGAAAAAAATCGGTTTGGTGAGAGCTGAGAAAAAGTGATAACAGACACAAAAAAAAAAAAATAAACACATCTTAGTAAAATTAATACCTTCTCAACTTCGCATCGAAGCTAAAAATGAACCTTAATTACCCTTTTGTTTTTCATAAAAAACCACATCATAAGCAATTTATCAATATAATAAATAGCTATTATTTTATCATTTATAAAAAATAATAATATTCAAAAACAACAAGGAATTATAGTAATACTTTTTTTTTTTATTGATATGAACAAAATAAAAAATAATAAGTTGAAAAAATTTAACTATTTGTATTTGTATTTTGAATTTTAAACAACTTCTGCTATAACATTTTTGTATTTTTCTAGAACAATTGGCACAGAGTTTTTCTTTGAATGTCTTCGAATATTTTCTTCCCTATAAAATTTAAACATTTTTAATAATATAAGTACAAAAATACAAAATTATATAAAGAATTTTCATTTATAGATAACATACTTTCTTTTTAATTTTTTTCTAGATTCTAATTGTTGTTGACGTTCATGATAAATATGTTTTGGTATTTGTCTATGTTTTGCAATTCTCTTTACTTGAGGGTGAGCTGCATATTTCTCTTTTAAAGTTGCATTGTAAGCCATTGCAGTTTGTTCACGAGGTCTCAACTAAAATACATATAAGACATTAATAGTAATTAATTATACTATATTATTATATTAAATTTTTTTATTACTAACAGTTCCTAATTTTTCTGATGCATTTGCTTTCCAAATTCTTATATTCATTTCATCAGATGCACTTAAAACATATTTGTTATCCAAGGACCAAGCAACACTAGTTAAATGTTGCATTCGTTTAGTATGATAAACTTCTCTTGAATGACCCTAAATTTATAGAATAATGATATTTATATAAATAACAACATATTTAATTAGCATTACCAGTGGTATTTGAGAGCTACAGTACAACCAAAATTTTGAATACACACGAGAAAATTACATTTATTTCATTTATTCATTTATTTTATGAAATACACTTATTTTAATTACTTTATTCAACATGCATAACATATTTTTAACATTTCCGATTATTTTTAATGTGTTTTATAGAAATAAAATTGAAAAAAATAATAAAATATAAAAAATTTACTTTAGCTTATTTGTTGAACGTACCTTTAGCTTTAATGATTTTGGAACAAACTTTTGTCATTCTCTTGACAAATTACAACATTTAAATATATTTACCATCTTTTGGTAGTAATTGATTGACAACCATCAATTTATACTATTAGCAAAAATGATCGTTTGAAATCAAAAATTCATTCGAAAATCAATGAATATTTGGATTGTCACTTTCTTTGAGTACAGTCAAATGCCAAATTTGAGAAAAAAGTATGTTTGGTCGTATAGTGATCAAAAAACCACTTCTTCAACCGATAAACAAACAAAAGAGACTTTATTTTACTAAAGACCATGTTAACTGGACCATGGATCAGTGAAAATTGGTTTTGTGAAGAGACAAATCAAAATTTGAACTTTTTGGGAATTATCAGAGACAATATGTTCATCGAAAAATCAATGAAAGTTACAAACCACAGTGGTATAATGCTTACTGTGCAACATGGGGAATGTTCTGTGGTGGATTGGGGCAGTTTCAGTCTTGCAGGAGTCGGTCAAATTTAAAGAATTGAAGGAATCATGAAGAGCAATATGACTGTATATTACAACGCCACACAAAACCATTTAAAACTAACCAGCCTAAATAGTCTCTGAAATTACTTAAAGAAAGCGTAGAACAATATAAAATTAGAAACATTACAAAAACTGGTTGATAGAATGCCAAAAATTTGTAAAGAAATTATAAAAGCAATAGGAGATTATTTTCAAGAAAATCGGTTTAAGTAAAATTTTCTCATTTTTTTTATATGATTTCTAAAAAATAGATTAAGAATTATAAGAAAATGTTAAAATTACATTCTACACATTAATATTATGCAAATTAAGGAAGTAATTTTTATCAAATAATTGAATAAACTAAAAAAAATATAATTTTCTAGTATGTCTTCAAACTTTTAGCCAGAACTGTATATGTGGGTATACGGATTATACCTACTAAAAATTCTTTTAATTAACAGGTAGCCCAAAAAAATTAATACTCATGTACTATTTATATTAAAAATTATACGCTCACAAATTGGTATTTCAAAACCCACCCCCCTTTTTTAAAGGGGGGTGGGTTTTGTGAAAACATAACTAGGCATTATATATATTAAAATAAAACAATACATACATTATTACTTTCAAATATTCTAACAGACTTATCATAACTTCCAGTAACAAATTCTTGACCAGTTGGAGCATAATCAATACATGTGACAGCTGATACATGGTCCATATGAACATGAATTGGACGTTTTAGATTTCTCGTATCATAAGAATAACAGCTTAATAATAGAAAAAATATACATATATCTAAGTTAAAATAAAATTTTTATAAAATAATATTTATAACAAATATAATAATATGATGCAATTGTCTTATATTACAAGGTATAGCTATAAGTTCAAAATATAAATACAGTGCTAACTATTTTCTCAGAGATATTTTTGTGTTAAAAAACATTGATACTAAGAACCATTCAATAGAACTCATTTTATAGAGGATAAAAACAACATGTAATATTCTTTTCAAAAGATGGTAGAAACAATATTCATTAATAATACCTACAATGATGAAATGTCATATTCATTTTGAAATAAACTAAAAAATAATTAGAAGATATAAATATAATAAAATGTATAATTACTTATAATCTTCATTAGCAACAGTAAAAATGTATGCTTCCATAGGATTCCAAGCTAACTGATTTGATTTCAGTTTCATCACTACTTTTCTCATAGGCCTTACCTCTCGAGCATCATAAATAATAATACTTCGATCACTAGCACATGAAGCTAGAATAAAATAATAAATTATTTGTATTGTATTTTTAAATGAAATGTTTACTATTTTCATTGAAAAATTAACATTTTATTAAATATTGCCTGATTACATCTGTACCATAGTGTCAAAAACATAATTTTACAAAAAAGAATCTTAAAAAAAAAAATCAACAATAGATCATAATGAACTTTATAATATTATACCTTTTATATCTTATTAATTAGTATAGTTTAACACAGTAAATTAAAAAATATTTTAATAATGCTAGTTAAAATTGTTTATATAGTGGTATAAATATTTGTGGTTGTTTGAAGTTATAAACAAAATTTCACAACATGTCAAATGTAATAATAAAATCTAAACAAACAAAATTTATAAAATGTAATAATTTTGTTATATTTTTTAAAAGTAATATTTCCAACTAATCTTTCTATTTTAGTAATATTTAACTAATTCATCTTCTGAAAATTTAATAAATCACTTTTTAACATAACTATTAAAATTTTATCAGAGATTATTATTTTTGTTTGATAATAAAAAAAAGTCAATTGTTGAATTTTAAATTACTCGAGCTTAAAAACTAAAACATTATAAAATATATATTATAACAACTTTGTTATATTATGATTACCATGTTAATATAATGTTCGGATAATATTTAAAATACATTAAACAAGTAGTAAGTAGTAAATAAAATACTCCTAAGTTCTTCAACTTAAACCCAAAAGTACTAAGTCAGATCAATGTTATATTGTTTAGCTTTAAAAAAGTTTACTTGCAATTATTCTAAGTTATTTTTTGTTATACCCATTTTAGAATCTAAAATAATTCAAAAATAATACCTAACACATGAGTATCAATTTGGTTAAATGCAATATGGTGTAAACTGTCAACACCCCATTGTAAAATAGATGTAGGTTGACTTCGAGTTATATCCCATAATTGTACCACATCACCACATGTTGCAAATATTCTGTCATCTAACCACTTATGACTAATATCATATAGCACAGACTAAAATGAAAATAATATAAAAAAATAACATTACTATAACTTTTTTATAAAAATAGTATCATATACCTGTGATATAAAAGTTTGATTTGGAGTTTCAAACTCATCATCTGTATTCCAAGCTTTAACTGTAGAGTCATCCCCAACACTCAACAATTTAGAACCATCTTGGTTAAAACACAATCCTCTTACAAATTTATCATGACCATTCACAGCATAAATGCTTTTTTTTTTAGCTAAATTCCAAAGACGTATTTCACCATCATAAGATCCACTTGCTACTGTAGATAATGATTTAGGATGTTTAGCCATGCAAAATATTCCTTCTCTATGACCATCCAAATTGCCAATAAATGGTTTAGCGAATACTCTTTCTAATTTTACAGCATTAAGAGCACGTACATACTCCCGTGAAGCTTGAAAAGGATGAAGATTTGGATCATAATTTCGAGGAACTAGAATATAAAAAAAACATTAAAAAATAAACATTTTAATAGCTTGATAACATCATTTCCATATCTAAATTATTTAAAATAATTTTGTTTAAAAAATAAGCAGTCAATATTATACAAAAAATTGTTTTTAATCTAAAAAATTCTATTTTAATATAAAACTTAAAACTATTAAATAAATTAATGATAACACCTTTTTGAATATCTCGTTTGGTTTCTCTCAAATAGTCATCAGGATTTCGTGTTAATATTTTTACTTTCATTGTCACTTTTCAAATAACAGACATTCAAAATAATTTAAAAAAAAAGTAATTTCACAGACTATAAAATTAAAAAGCTTCTAGGTATGTAAAACAATAATTACAACAGCCAATATTACTAGTCGGTTGTAATTTTGATCATATCAGTTTTTATCAAAAATTAAATACTCTTTACGCACAGAAATCGAAATGACAATATTTGTTAAGGTAACGTAATACTAAAAATGTTAATGCTAGATACAGAAGTCTTAAACATAAGTTTATCTATTCTCTGCAATATCTACTTAAGATTGATACACGTGCATAATCAGTATACACAACTTTATAATTTTATCTTTAAATTCAAAATAGGGATATTTATTATATATCCGATACAGTATAAATGCCATACTGTATATCCGGTCATATTATCTCACTAATATTTTTGATAATATGATTCCTCATGTATATTGCTAGATAGGCATAGTATAACTAAATAATGGTTTTTATCTTTTCCAGTGATTAATAGACTAGCAATTTTTATTTTTTAATTATTATTAAAATTGTTGAGTTCACGCAAATTATTAATGTTGAATTAATTTTATGAAATTTTTAACAATATTTGATAGTTGCTCAATAATTTTAACTTAATGTCGAGCTAAATTTTTTTCATAAGAATCGAACGTGCAAGTAAAATTAAAAATGATTCTTTTGGAAACTAATAATCGTGTTGTCGAAGAGTCTATTACTGTGCGCATTAAAAATTCTTTATCCGGGTAAGTATATATAATTACAATTAAATAATATAATTTTTTATTCATTCATATATTTGGGCTTCTTTTAGGAACAAACCCGAAACTACCAACATATTCATATCAGATTATGCGGGTGTGTTGTTTCATATTTCTAATTTAGATGGTCAAAAGAACATGCTTAGAGTAAGTGAACAAATTTAAAATAAAAATTGTAAATTTAGCCAATAAGCTTTTTTTTTTAAAGGTAAGTATAGCATTAAAGTTTTATACTGAACTTCAAGAACATGGTGCTACAGAATTATTAAATCGTATTTATGGTTCTTATGTTACTGAATCTGAATCTGGCTTTAACTTTTCATTACTTATTGACCTGGAAAAAATTCCTAATGATTGGGAAGAATTAGTAAAAAAAATTGGACAATTAAAACGAAACTGTTTTGCATCAGTTTTTGAAAAGTATTTTGACTTTCAAGAAAAAGGGGAAGAAGGTCATAAAAGAGCAGTTATTAATTATCGAGAAGATGAAACTATGTAAGTATTTATGTATATATGTATTTTAGTAGTAATTTAAATTTATTCATATTTGACAACAAATATATTTAAGGTATGTTGAGGCTAAGGCAGATAGAGTAACTGTTGTATTTAGTACAGTATTTAGGGATAGTGATGATGTAGTTTTGGGTAAAGTTTTTATGCAAGAATTGAGAGAAGGAAGACGAGCTAGTCAAACTTCTCCACAAGTTTTATTTACACACAAAGAACCACCACTTGAACTACAAGATACTAATGCTCGAGTTGGCGATGAAGTGGGTTACATAACTTTTGGTTAGTAATTAATTTTTTTAATTTGATGTAGTGATAAAAGATTATATCTTAGTAAATAAAATAATTAATACAATTGTTGCATCTTTTAGTATTATTTCCAAGACATACTAATAGAGCTGCCCGAGAAAATACAATTAATTTAATACACATGTTTCGTGATTACTTACATTATCACATTAAGTGTACAAAAGCATATATACATTCTTGTATGAGAGCAAAAACTACAGATTTTATAAAAATTCTCAACAGAGCTCGTCCAGATTCTAAAAAATCTAATGAAAAGAAAACAATTACGTAAGTTATATGCCATTATATCAAATAATAATCAATTACGTGTTATTATATAAAAAAAAAAAAACTTCATTTCCATAATTTTAAAAGATTATTTAGAAAATAATTTTATATTGTATTACATAGCCTGAATAACATAATCAAAGCTTAGAATTTTTTTTGGTTGACTAGGAAAATTAAAAATTAAAATAAAAAGGTTCATAAGGTTTTAATAAACTAATGACATTATTTATCAAAATCTATGAAGCAAAATATGATTTTTTATTAAAGTACGAATATATGAATTTTAAAATTTTTTTGGTAATACTTATTTCACTTAAATCAATATATACAATTTATACTCTGAAATTAAAAATTAAGATCTTTCAAATTTTATTAATTTACCTTCTCTTAAAATAGTATCATTTTAATCAAATTATGCCTAAAATTAACATAAATACTTATTTGATAAACTGTTAATTTTTATTAAATATAAAATTAATAGCGTTTTTTTTTTTCAGTGGTAGATCATTCATTCGAAAGGACTGAAAGTGTTTTATTATTGATTATTTATATAAGAAATAAAAATAAAGTTCATAAGTATTTAATAGTTATTAAACAAACACTAATCAATTCCATAAATATTACATATGTTTATATTGTTAGCTAATAAAACTAACCATTGTTTTTAATATATAAGTATATAAAAAAAACTATTATAATTTTTGGTTTTATTTCATTTATTATTATTTATGTACAATAAATATTAGTTATTTATTTTATTAATTGTATTGCATTTATATATTTAAAATAAATTATTAAACTAAAATTTTTTTTTTTATTCGAGTTTAATTATTGATTTAATCTTCATTGGCAAAAGGATTCAAACTGTCATCATAATCATCATTAAATGGATTTTTATTATCATCATAATCCATATTACTAACATCTTCATCAAATGGATTCTTTGGTTCAAAAGTTGCTACACTATTTGAAATGTTTGAATTAATTATTTTAGGGCTTGATCCTAAGGGTATTTCTACAGAGTTGGTAACAGTTTTAGGAGTTATTTTTTTAGGAACAACAGTATTAAATTTAAAAAACTGTTTATCAACTATTGCAGAATCATTATCAAATAGGCATCGACCAAAATATTCTGAAAGAAGTGAAAAACTATCATTAGTCCGTTCCAATTGACTGTGGAATAATTCATTATGATCTTTAATCATGCTCTAAAAAGAAAATTAGTAATATTTAATCCTTAATATCAATAAAAGTATAGATAGAACATTTTTACCTGAGTACGTATTATATCAATTATTTGCTTGTTATTGGAAATACAAGCTGGACATTCATCATCATTTTCTGAAAAAGCTTGGAAACAACTGTCAAAAAAACAAAATAATTTGCAACAATAGATTTTATTACTTATTAGATACAATAATACAATTAGAGCACTAGTGGTATTGTGATAATTTAATTAATTTACTTCAATTGAAAATTAATAAAGACTAAGTCTTTTTCATTGATTTAATAGAGTATTCTATTATTAATAAATAAATTTTATAAATGAAACATTTTGATTTTAAGGTCAAATTTATAGACACTAATATTATTATATGACCTAATTTTGATAATTAATTTGTTAATTAAATGTAATAATCAAACTATAAATAAAAAAGAATATAAAAAGAGATACTTTAAAAATAAGGCAAAATATGTTTATAATCTGTTTGATAAAAATAATATCACTACTATAATATTCATCAAATACTACAATAATTAAGGACTAGAAATATTTGAAATATACCAATTACCTATATTTATATATTGAAAAAAACAAAATTTTTGTCATTAAAGATTAGAACAAACTAATAATTAATATCAACTAAACAACATTGGTCTAATATTAGTTCTATAGTGTACTTTATTTGTAAAATTATAACAATAAATTTGATGAACCAAAGTTGTATAATTTTCTTCAAGCCGGTATACCTTTCTTGTACAACCAAAGTAGACACATATTACAAAATGTGCAACAGTTTATTTTAATTATGTAAAAAAAAAAAATCAAAATCTTGTAAATAATAAAATGTATACAAGTAATCAGTTTATCATAAACCACTCGATTACTCGCAAATTGATAAAGTAATCAAGAAATATATGTAACTAAAAAAAAACTAATTTCTTTTGTGAGTAATCATGTGGTTTATGATAAACTATACATATATAGTTTTTTACATTTGTTCATTTACTCATAAACTGATGAAGTAATTTCTAAACTGAATTGTTTAAATAATAGAATATTACACTTGTTGTAATATTCTATGTAATTAATTATCATATCAGGACAAAAAAAAAACATTTTATTTCAAAAATCATAGATAAGTGTACTGTAACAGAATACCGATGCATGTAAATAAAGTTTTAAATAGAAAAATAATAAAAAAAACACTTTCTCCAAAAAGGTTAAAAACTTTACAACAGTGCCCACTAGAAGGATAATATATGAGTATACAACGTAATAATTGGAAACAAAAAATTTGATACAAAAATATGTTAATCAGCTAATAAATAAATTGCTAATAAATTAGCAGAATTTAATAATAAAAATATCAAAATATTGATATCTCAACTTTTGAAAAAAATTGATAGTGAATAATACCAGTAAATTTTGATATATTGTAAATATATGATTTTCAGCTTAACAATATATAATAGAACTACCTATAATTTGTTTTTTCATTAATAAAAATTACTTTCAAATTCTTTTAATTTATGTAACAATTAAAAAAATAAAGTAAAAATTCACTTCTAAACTATAATATTTAATTAATATAGTTAACTTACTGTTGGTGATAGGAATGTTGACACATAAAATGTACACTGGGAAGTTCAAGTTGATTATTACATGCACTACACCGTAAACCTTGAAAAACTATAGCACTAAAAATAATTATTTAAAAATTATACAATTAAAAATATTTAATTATATATTAATACTTTAATTATTACTTGTTTTTTAGTTTTTCTATAGTATTATTTATGTTTTCTGTATCTTTTTCATATTTATTAACCATTTCTTTATCTTTTTCTAGTGTTCTTTTTTCAGTAGTAAATAAATTTGTAAGAAAAGCTCGAATATGGCCAATATTAATAACTTTTGATTTAGCTAATGATGATAAAATGAAGTAAGATGACAATAAAGATTTCATTTCTAAAAATAACAAAATCTGCATAGAATATCAACTTAACTAAAAATATTAATTTTAATAAATTACTTAGTATTTGAAACTAGTTTTTATATTTTAAACATGACTAATATTAAAGAAAATATATTTTATTTAAATAAGTTTTTTTTTACTTCTAGTTACTTAAATATTTGAATATTTTTTTATTAAGACATTTTAATTCTAAAATTATTTAATTGTAAAATCTGATAAATTTAAATTTAATTTGCAGTAAAAACTTATTTTTAAGAAATTAAAGATACTATAAATTGTAAAATAATATATTTAGACATTGAAAATAACATCAATTAAGAACCTTTTTTAATTAATCATATTTTTATAGTTTAAATACATCCGATAGAATAGAACAAAAAGATATTGTAGAAAAAGTGTGTACCATTGAAATTTAAAATAAAAAACTTTAAAGATTTTGAAGACAAAATTGTGTGATTTAAACAACCTATTTTCTTGTAAAAACATAAAATAAATTTTTTTAAAGTATAATTTTATATATATATATAATATTATTATTTATTTATTTTTAATTAATCAAAACAATTATTAGTTAATAATTTACCAATTTCATTCAATACTTCTTCTAGAACATTCAAAGGAAAATGTTCATCAGATATAGCAGACTTAAATACTATAATCCACAATTTTGGCTCAGTATGACCATGCCGTCTACAGCATTCAATTGCACCATTGTAATCATTCAGAGACAAATAATAATGGACCAACTTAACAAATCTAGATTAAATAATGCATAATATTTATATAACTATAATAATTAATAATGTATAAAACACTAAACTGTTTATTATGTTCATAAATATACACAACAGCTGGTTTAAACTCAAATGATGTTGCCAAAATTAATACTTGTAAGTAATCACAGTTAACATCTGCTGATTCTAATATATTGAGAATTTTTTTTTCTATTTCAACACGGCTATCAGTATTATTTGCTTTTTTCCAAACAATTAAACAGTGTTCAATGTATATGTTAATTATTGAAATTGACCATTTCCCTAAAAACTGAATGTCAATAATTCTTAATATAGACTTATATTTGAACAGTAAATAATGGGGTTTCTAAGATTATTAAAATATATTAAAACTATTTAATTTTCAATATTTTTATTAGTATTTTTGGATAATATATCCTGAATACCAAAGCATTTTAGATACTTTTAAAAGAAATTATTTTGCCTTAATACTTTATAAAATAATATTCTTAAGTATTAAAATATAAATTTGTATAAAAAAATAAATATATTTAAAATTTACTTACATCCCTGAAATGATCCAAAAATTCAACTAAAAGCTGAGAATCATCCAATAATAAGTAAATAAAATCTTCAGGGCAAGCACAATTTATTAGAGTATTTTCCTTAAGATGAACAATAAATCAAATGTTTTAAAGATTATTAAATGCATAATAAAAAAAAAATTACATTAGTGTTAGAGTAGCATGCAGAACATAGTTTCTTTAAGAAGTTTACAGTATCCATGGGAACATTTTCCATAAACACATTACTATACTGTTTTATAATTTGCACAGACTATAACAAAAAAAGTATATTACTTTTTATCCTAAGCATTAGAAATAAGATAACATACTTCATCAATGGAAAGATTTTTAACATACTCTAATGCAGCAGAATAGTCATGTTGATCATCTAAAAGTATTTTTATATACAAAGAATGTCTGTTATGCTTCTTGGCCAATGCAAGAGCATTTTCTGGTGAAGATTTCCTACAAACTTTAATAGCTACATCAACATCAAATTCAATATTATCATTTTTGACCTAAAAATAATCCATTTTGAAATCAATACACTTAGGGAAAAAATTAGTTAAATTGTAGGTTTATTTAAACAAACTACGTAATTCAATATAATAATTTCAGTATGTAAACACTGTGGATTGATTCAATTGTGCTAGACTATGTTAATTTTCCTATTCTCTCTACCACAAACAATAGCTTTTAAGAGAGAATATTAAAATTAAATAACTTAAATGACTTATTTCTTTATTGAATTATTTTTTATGAAAGAACTAACATTGAAAAAAAAAAATTATATATACACATTATAGGTCATAAGTAATATTGTATTAATCTATTTTGATATTTATTTTTTCATTGTATTTTATTTTAAATATGTAAAAAAATGTTTGATGTTCTGAAATATAAATTCAAAGAAAGGAAAACATTATAAAACTAATATAAAAAATTGAGTTGTTTTTTTTCTAATTAAAATGTGCAGCATTATTATTATTATTATTTATATAATTATTTTTTATTTATTTAATAACAACTCTTAAAATTATATATTAACTCAATATTACACGACTTAAAGCATACTTACTAAAATAAATTCTTGGAGTTTATCTAAGCTATTAAGTTTTGAATAACAATTAAACAATAATGTGGTATGGTCTTTGGTCGCAGCTCCTGATTTATGCAAAGCATGTAAATAAGTAGTTAAGCTATCAATATATTGTGAATCTAAAAACTAACACATATAATTTAAATAAACTATAATTGTAAAATTGTTTATCGCATAAGAATTTACTTTCTTAATGACATATGACGGTTCAAGTTTTCCAATTGTTTTAATATACTGCTCTACAGCACCACTGTGATCACCTTTAGTATATAAATGATCACCATATTGACGAAATATATTAATAAGCGCTTGAGAATCATATTGTTGGCTCTTAGCCATACGTACTGCCACATCATATAAATTCTTTTTAAAAAGAACAGACAATTTTGATTGCAAATCTTTCTCAATTAACTGAGATAGACTACCACTAGCTGTTAAAACATATAATGATCCCCACTCTGACAAAACAGATATAATTTCACGCATAGTGGTAGTAAATACTATAAATTTATTTTGAATGTCTAAAATAGTTAATGAAACTGCTGCAATTTCATCACTGAAAAATAAAACAAATATAATTATGATTATGTATACATAAAAAATATGATAATTCTTACGAATGTTTTGTAGTACTAGAAACTGTCACAGTATTATGAGACTTTCCTGAATCTTTAGAAACTATAATTAGATAACTACGAAACCAATGAAGTATAATTTTTTGACCTCCTACAACATAGCATGGACCTCGGCTATCAACTGTGTAACAATATATTGCCTAAAACATATAAATACCTATTTTACGTTACAACATATGTTTGCTATTTTAAACCATCTAAGTCTATTTTCTATCATTTTATCTATGATTGACGCTACACCTATACTCCTTTTTATATGTTCGTTCGTAATCCTATCTTCTTTAGTTACTCCATCTAAGCATTCTCTTCTCTGCTCTATTCTCTTGTTAACCCCCCAATATTCTGAACCATACAACATATCTGGTTTCACTACAGTCTTATAGAACTTACCTTTCAAACTCATTGGAATTCTTTTATCACATAATACACCAAACATTTCTCTCCACTTCAACCACCCGCACTTAAACTTGTGTCTTACATTCTCGTTAATACCACTGCTCTTTTGCACAACTGATCCTATATAATTAACACTTTCCACCTCTTCTATAACGTCCTTGCCTATTGTCACTGACCTCCTCATTTCATCTATCTCGTGTTCTCCTTTGTCAAACTCGTACTCTATATACTCTGTCTTATTCCTACTTATTCTTAAACCCTTTTCTTCAAGAGCTGATACCCTTACTCTAAAACCTTCTGTTACTCTTACTACACTTTTTACTCTGGTACAATTGCCATTATCCATATCCTCTTTTATATAAATGTACCTTGTTGGGACTTTTTTTTTCATTAATACCCACTTTAAAACCTCTCTCGGTACTATATCATACACTTTCTTCAAATCTATAAATACCAAACACAGCTTTTCCTTTTTTTCAATAAACTTTTCTATTAGTTTCCTCACACAAAATAATGGCTCTATTGTAAGTAAAAAAATATATTTTAAAATTAAATACTTTGTATATTATTTTCTAGAACTACCACTTTAATTACTTACGTCCTCTTTAGCAATCATAAAGTGACCATCAGGACCATTTACTAATACTGAACATTTAAAATCACAACCAACTGCATCTAAGACAGTCTAAAGATAAATCAAAATTAATTTTAATTTTATCAACTAAAAAATTGTAAAAGTTTTTACCATGGGATAAGAATCTTTGGAAGATAAATTAAATTGCTGGACAGACGAAGCCGTAGAAACAAAGAGATACCATTGATTATTAACAACATATTTAAAAGCCATTCCTGTAATTTCCTGACCCAAGTTCTTTAATACTTTTGGTTTTGAATTTCGATCTCTTGATAAATCTCCTTTATATAATACTATAGAACCATCTATAAATCCAACAGCCATCAACAAACGATTATCTGTCACACATAGTGTGGTAGCTCTTTCTAACTTTGGTAACTTAGATGTACGTATACATGTTGGATTATTTTGACGATCTCTTCGCTCCAAATCCCATACTTTAAGCAAAGCATATGAATCCAATTCATCTTCCTAAATAAATAACAAATTATCTCTATAATTTAAGTAATATATAATCGAAATGAAGGTAAAGTCATCAATTATTATCTTACACCAATAGTTATTAATAAGTTGTTATTTTGAAGTTGTGTAGATAAAAGAACAGACAATTGATACGCTCTAAATGTAGTGATAAGAAATGTTCGAGTAATTAAATGCACAAGTCCATTGTCATCACATATAACTAAATGACCATGTCCACTACTTGTAATAGTTATATTAGATCCCTAAAAGTAAAATTCAAAATAATTTACTTCCTTTTAACTTAGCTAATTTGAGTACTATAAAATTAAGATATTTTCATTAGCCTCCATGTACAATTTTAAATGTATCGCATAACAAAAAATTTACTAGACACCAAGTTTTTTTATTACCTTTTTTTTTACAATTTATTTTTAAGAATAATTATAAACTATTTATACTTATTGTTTAAGTATATAAGTATTTTAATAAAATTTTAGTTATTCATTAGGAATATTAATTATATTTCCTACTGTAACACCCTTACAATATATACAGAGTAAATCTGTTATCATGAACTACTAAATTAATTGGAAAATAAAAATAATATTGAAAATTGTATTGTTGATTTTTCTTAGTTATGTTTCAATCAAACATGAACATGTATACTCCAATTTTAATTGTAGTATACATAATTAACAGCTAATTAATTAAAATTGCGAATAACCAGAAAATTTTATTCAAAAGTTGTAATTTACCAGTCATTTTCTTAATTTGATTATTATCTTATAAATAATAAATAATAAAATAATCATGTAAATTATTTATGTTCTCATTTATATAAAATAACTTTAAATATATATTTTTTCCAAATGATTCCTATACTAACAAATTAAGTTTTAACTCATCATTAATATTTAAGAAGAATTAAAGCTGAGCAAATAAATATAAAAATTGTTTGAAAAAAAAAACAGTATATAAAAAAATTATACCACTTGTTAAGTCAACCATCAGGTTTATACTTTCTCATTCTCTTTCACACACAGACACATATATATTTCTTTATAAAACACATATATTTTAATTATATAATAACAATATATTAAAAATTTTAATTAAATAATTACACTAATTGTTTGTGAAATCCGCTTAGAGTCAGCATTATGATTAATATCAAAAAAATTGAATCTGCGCCACTAAAACAAAAAATATATATATAATAATTATAAAGTAATTATTTTATAATAATCTTGATTTGAATACAAATACTTTAATATAAATATAATGAAATGTTTGAAATATAAAATATATATCATATTATATCAATAATATTTATATTCATGTAAATAAATCCATAATATATAGAATATATAGAACTAAACTGATATATTGAAAACTCAAAAATATTTACAATAAATAACAAAAAAAATTCATATTTAAGTTTGTTGTTTAATTCAAAACTTAATCATTAGTGTTTTTGATAGATTTAAAATTTGTTTAAGTAAAAATAAATTTTTCTTTAAGAGAATAAAATAATGTTAATAGTAAAATTCTAACCAATCAAATATAAACAGTTTTACAATAAATATAATTTTATGATCATAATTTATTACTAAGATTTATGAATAATTCTAATTTTTATATATTAATTTTAAATGAATTTCTTTTTAGAGAAATTCAAAATTAAACTATGGTAAAGGAATCCCCACGATTTTATATAATTTTAAATTATTATATTGGTCATAGTAGTTTAATAATAAAATTAGAAGACTTACTTCTAAAAACGACATTTTAATTTTTTTTCTAATATATCATAAATAAACTATTTCAACAACTACAAATATTATTAAGTATTAATTAAATGTTAACAAATTCTAGTAGGTCTAAAGTACAATGAACGTAATAAAAAATAATTCATATATCTTTAATAAAATTATAACTATGTTTTTCGATTAAAATTTTTATATATGATTTTGATATATTCAGTTCGAAATTATATTTACATATTTTAATAATACATCGTAAAATGCAGTATAAAATTATTAACTTGTAAGGTTTTTAAAATTATAAATGATTTTAAACATTTTTACTAAATTATTTTATCAAATGTTAAATTAATATATTGGCAATGACTAAATGATAAATTGATAATATCAATCTGATACTATAGAATAGATAGAATAGATAATATCTTATCTATTCTATGATAATACTCAAATCAAAGAAACGCCCTGTTTAACTATATGTATATTCTCTTTGGATACTTTGCTACCATTGTAACAAATTTAAACATAATTAAGTAACCATTAACCACAAGCCTAGTTGACTTTTGAATTTTAAAATAAAATACAGTATAATTTTCGATTTAATAGTTCTTTGTTTTTAACTAACAAGGTTTTGTTATATAAATGAATTAATAATCAGGAAAACACAGCTTCACAAAATAGAATTGAATTGTACACAATTAGTGAACACATCTACTGATACTGAAGTATTACAGAAAAATTGATCGTGTACATTTCGGGCGCTCATTTTTACTTTGTTTTTGTTATCGAGTGCATACGTATCGGACGAACATGATTGGTCAGAAGTAAAAATTTTTTGAAAATCAAATATGGTGTTTCAACGCTTTAAAAACGCGCAATTTTATTCAATTTTAGTCCGCCAAATAAAATTTTTAGTTAAATATTGATTTGTGTAAATAATCCAGATAGATGTCTACGCAACTATTTATCTATAAATTAAATTGCTCCTGTGTGGGGCGTGCCCAAATTCAGTGAAGGCGGACAAGTGAAACAAATTGCCATTACTTGGCAAAACGTTTTGTTTTTCAATAACTTCAAATTTTAAATATCAGGATGTCAAACACAGGTGTGTGAAAATTGATGTAACCTTGTTGAATCAATTAATGCACATAAATATTATGTGTCTGTTTAAAGTAAAATGATATCTCATTTCCAAATATTTTGAAATTTACATTTTGATAAGATTCAAATAATATAAATATTCTTTTATTTGAGTACTTATACTAATCTAAGATTCAAAGAATTTTTACCATCATTACCATAGCTTAGAGATAAAAGAGAGAAAATATAAATTGAGCTAATTATTTAATTAGATATTTCGTAAATTATTTCAAATGCTGTTTGTAATCCAAATATGATTAGCATTTTAAATTCTAAGCAAGTAAGCTTGTCTATTAATACTGCAAGATAATTTTATTTAATTTGTGAGTTTTTTAATCTACCTATTTTTTATAATTTTTACTTTAAACATTTTCTTGTATCCATTTCAAACATTTAATTTAATTTTTTTTCAAGAAATGTTTCTCATTAATACAATCAACTTAAAAAATGGTATTTTTTATAAAAGGATGTTATCTATGTTAACTACTTAGTATAAATACTGTATTATGCTTTAATGTTCAAGATATTTTGTTCATTAATTAATTGTTTTTAATTATTTATAATAACTTTTTTGTTTACCTTAAATATGAAACTATGATAAATTGTATTTTTAAATAATATCTTTAATTGCTTGTTAAGACTTTGATAGTCAAGATTTAGGTGGATCAAGTGTATTGGATAGTGATTATTTGACTATGTTGAGCTCATCTGATAAACTTATGTCAGGAGAATTTGAAGCTCTTGAAAGACTTCAAGCAGAACTAAATTTATTTGATGATCCTAATCGTCCTGAAGAAATTGTTGAACAAATGGCTGTAGAAAATCATTTAGATTTAATTGAAGAAGAAGTATGTAGTGATATAATTGATACTGAAGTTAAGACTGAACCATCCACTAATCCCAAAGAAGTAGAACCAAAATCTGAAATCATCACTCCATTTCAATCACAGAACTCTGTTTCTCAAGCTATCAAAGAAGAAAAGTTAGAATCTTCAGGATCCCAACATGATAATATAGTTGTTTCAATAAGACAAAAACCTGAAATTGTTACAGTTCATAGTGCTACTAAAAGAAGTGCACCAAGTTCTTCTGGAAATCAACCATCAAAAAAATCTGTAAATATTAAGAAAATTTTAATAATTAAACTACTTATATGTATATATATTTCATTGTTCTATAGTTACTCACCAAAGTAATGGTAAATAGTATACCAAATTTAAATACTGGAAAAGGAACACAACAAATATTATTGAATGTTCCTGTTGGTCAACGACCTCATTTGAGTACTGCTAGAACTATAACATTAACTCAAGCTCGTCAAATGGGTTTACTTACACCTGGATGTAGGTTACAACCAGTAACTACCAATTCTAGTACAACACAAAACAAAGTATAACTTAGTTTTATAAAAAAAACAATTTAAAGAAGATTAATTTATTACTATATGTTTTATATTAGAGTATGTTAATAAACAAACTTTCTGGAACACTAAAGAAAGTACCATCTAATTTGAAATCTTCTGTGCCGACTAAAATATTGCCAGCTCCAACTTTAATAACAACCAAAAATTCAGTTATACCACAACAAAAAATATATATTAGACAAGTATAGTTATTATTGTATTATTAATTTGCTTGATAATAAAATTTTATTAATGTACAATTATTTTTAGGGATCTGTTTTTAAACAAGGAACTATTGTAACAACAAATAATGGTAATAATCAAGTTATTAGACTACCTTCCATTGTTGGTCAAGCTTCACCTGTACCAACTATTCAACATATTCGATTACCAACAGTTAATGCTACAAACGTAAGTGGCTTACAACAGGTTAAAGTACCAAATAATTCAGGAATACAACAAGTGCTACCAAATAAACAAGTATTTTTATTTTTAATGTAATATATATATATATATTAAAATTTTATCTTAAAAAAAAAAAACTATTTAGGTGCAATATATAAGGCTTGTACCTACTAGTACAAGTAACTTGCCATCTGCAGCTGTATCTGTTGTAACATCAACAGCAAGTTCATCACTTAAACAACCTCAAATAGTCACTGTATCAGCAGGAACACATAAATCTATTATCAAAACAACACCTACTACTAAAATTAGTTTAGCAAATAATCAGCATTCACTTTCTAACCATATAAAAGTTCTTACAACTTCATCACCCAATGTAAGTATAAATCTGTAAATTAGAAAAATATTCTGTATGTTTTTATTTTATTTTTTTTTAATTATACAGACTGTTACACCCAGTCAACAACGACCTATATTACCAGCTAATAAACCTAGTTGTAGTTTGCCATCCGAATCAAAAAAGTCTAATAGTGATGTATCAACAATAAGCTCAATTACTTCAAAACAAGTATTTTCAGTAAACATAGTGTGTTCCTCTAACAGTAAAATGTATGTACTTGATATCCTAGGTATCAACATCATCTAAAACTACTTTAAAAGTAGAATCTATTGACGAAGAAATGTTATCTATAAAAGATGAAAATAAAGAATTAAATTTAACTCCATCATTACCAAAAATTGGAAGACCATCATCTTCAACTACAACATCAACTTCAATAGAATCTAAACCAAAAGTTATTAATGATTTAAACAAAACCAAAAAACCTTGTAATTGCACCAGATCGCAGTGCCTTAAATTGTAAAATATTTTTATTTTTATTACTTTTAATGTGGTATTAATTTTTATCTATCTAGGTATTGTGATTGTTTTGCAAATGGTGAATTTTGTTATCAATGTAATTGTAATTCATGTTTTAACAATATTGAACATGAAGAAGATAGAGCTCAAGCTATTCGTTCTGTATTAGATAGAAATCCTAATGCATTTAGACCAAAAATTAAAAGTTTTGTTGGTCAAGCTGAAAGACAACATACCAAAGGATGCAACTGCAAGAGATCTGGATGTTTAAAAAATTATTGTGAATGCTTTGAAGCTCGTATTGCTTGTTCTCAAAACTGCAAATGTATTGGATGTCGAAATATAGACGAAGATTCACAAATATCACCTTTTGGAGATCATTCAGGATCATTAAGTGTTGATAATTTTAAATCTAGATCAAAATCGGCCAATTTTGTTACATCATTTGGTAGTATTCAAGCAGCTAATAATATTCCAAGGTATAATCTATTTCTCCATTAGAGTTACAACTATATTTATAATATAAATGTGCTATTATTTATTTTAATGTTTTAATAATTGCTATTTATTTGATATTTATTTATTTGCAAAATTGTATTTTCAGTCAACCTTTTAAATTTTTTACTAATGATGTTGTGCAAGCTACATGTCGATGCCTTTTAGCTAGAGGAATGGAAGCTAAAAAACTAAATACAGGAGCTGAAGAATGCCAACGTATTATTATCGAAGAATTTGGACAGTGTCTTGTAAAAATTATGGACCTTGCGTCTGAAAAATCTTTTGCGTAGTAACTAAAAAAAAATTTTTGTTTCATAATTTTTAATATTTATTATTTTATCTACTCTATTTATATTTTATTTGTAAATAATAGCTCACATTTCTTTATTAATATTATATTTTTGTTTTGTGTTGTAATAGTGTACTTTTTTTAATTTTGTGCGTTTTAGGGTTAATTAATGTTTTTATTTTAAAATTTTATTGATTCGTGTGCTTCTTAAATAATTAAAAACAAATATTTTATTTCAATTTATTACAGATTTTAATATGTATATTAGATCAAATATAAAAAACAAATTACACTTGTTATAATACAGATTTCTTATCTTTCGCTAACAATTTAATAGCCTTTTCCTTTATATTTCCATCTCTAAACATCTCAACTTCTGGTTTAACTCTATATGATTTCAAGAGTTCTTTAGTTTTCTTAGCCTTACGCTGAATCTTATTATTGGTATATTTATCTTTCTTGCTTTCTTTAAGCAAACGTCTAGTCTATACATAGAAAGAAAATCAAATTTACTATAAAATACATATAAGTAGAACATGAAATATATATTACCTTAGCTGGAGTAATATAAAATGGATTTTCCCAAAGTGTTTCGCCACTAAAACTACCTTTGAAAATCCGGATTGGTTGTAAAACAAATCTTGGTCCTAAAAAATGATAATTTACTTGGTAAGTATATTGTGCTTTTAATAGGGAAAAAATATGATAATCTTTTTCAAATATGTTTACATAATGCTACTGATTTAGTATCTGACAATTAAAAAAATTTTTAGATAAACTTATATATTTTTACTGTAAGATGCTATAAGATTTTTTAATTTTAAGGTATAATTTTTAACTCTAAATCAGATATTTGCTATAGTATAATATTGCTATACAGCTATAACTAATAAAATAATTCAATGCTAAAGTACAGTAGAGATCCAGCAAGGTGTAGTCCAAATTTGTTTTTAATTAGTATTATTTGATATTCGACTGTGATAAAATCATTATGGTACAATGATTAAAAACAAATTAAAGAAAAATTATATAATTTTAGCATTAGAGACTACTATTAATCGATCTCATGTTTTGATGTCAGAATGTCTTTTGAAAATAATTAGAATTTATTTTCTTTTTAATTATATAATACAATATCATAAACTATAATTTCATTAAGTTTTAAAAACAGATGTTCCGTTTCTATACAAAACATTTCAAAATTGGTCATTTTTAACAAGAATTGTAAGATTTTTGTATTAATTGACTAATAATTAATAAAAATTAAGTTTTTTGATAGTTTTTTTTTCTTAAAATATATTTTATAAACATTAATTTGACATAAATTTAAACAACACAGATTTTTGAAACAAAAATTTAAAAGAAAAAAAAATATTTCACCATTAAAATAAATGTCTAGTATTGCCAATAGATAATTTGTAATGTTCCATTAATATAAAAAAAATTTATTTCAATATTTAGTGAAGAATAAAAATATTAACTTTGAACATTTTATGTCAGATGTAATTTTTTGGAACATTTTCCTTAACTTAAGAAAAATTTTCAAAATTATGTTATTAGTTTGTATTAAAAATTTAAATAGCTTCAACTAAATACATTTTGTAATTTTTTAATATATTGTTGAGGAAAATTGGTTTAGTAGTAGTAGAGTAATACAGTGTTGCAAAAAAACAACTTGAATTAAAACCAATAGTTTTTCAACTACATTTGTAGCTAAAGTATAAGGATATTAGTATGTTTCATTTAGAAAAAAAATTGGCAAGACATCTAAATCTTATATACATGATATCTTCTTAAAAGCTTCCATTTCCTTATATAGATCAGACTATATATTTTAATCTTCAATTACTTTATTTACCATTATTTTCATTACTTATTTATCTCAAATCACTCATTATACCCTTTCTTTAAAATTAAAATGGTAATCTATAAATACAATTTTACTTCAATTAATCCTAAATACTTTTAATCTTTAACATTTATCTTCATTATACTATTATCCATTTTCTACTAGACTCTCTAATCAAAACTGTATTATCTATATTGGTGACACTAAATAAACTTCAATAAATTAAATTATGGCAGGTTCACTAAATTTTAAAATATATACTTACCGATTTCTGCAATGGCTCCATTGTTATCTAAAATTTGATAATTTCTAAACCAAATTCTATTATCCAATACAGAAAAGTTAAGTACATTATCAACAAAAGGTTGGCTTTTAGGGTGATAATTTGGTACACCAAAAATTTGAATAAACATTTCCCTTAATAATGCATACTGAGGATATTCATCAAAAGATTTATCAAATGATAGTATTGGTCTAGATCCTTTTAAGCAATTTCCAGTTAATTTCAGTTCAGCACTTGTATAAACTATTAAATTTAATAATAATCAGCATGAATAAAAAAACTAATGATTTAAAATAAGAAATAAATATAATCTATAAAACTTACTACTTTCTACATGGAATTTTACACTTGGACCATCTGAAATGTTGGCAAACCACATGTATAAATCTCTTTGAAGCCTCCCATCAAATAAAATGCATTTATTGCAGTTTGCCATTTTACACATCTACAAAAAAAAAAGTTAAGATTTGACTAAGAAAAAGTTTTTAAGAATTATAATATAATATGCTAGAATTAATAATATATATGTAGTACTTCATTAATAACAAATAAGTTTTCTTTCCTTTCCATTTTGTTAGCTGGCTTTGAATGAGGTAACATTTTAATAACATCTTTCATTAAGTGACGATGTTGAAAACTTATACCACGAGTAGCAAACACTAAAATTCTTTCTTTATTGATCCATTTTACCTAAAATTTATGTAAAAATTAAATTCAATAAAATATAACCTCTCACACATAAGCGTGTCTGAATTACAGTAGCTAAAAGTTATTTACTTCTGGTGATTGCTTAATTTATTTAACTTAACTTATTTTCAAAAAAAAATTGAGATTTTATCTTTATTGTTTATCTATTAATATTTTAACTATTAACTCATTTTAATAAAAAAAAATTATTTTCATAATAAACCTAAATTTTTATAGATGAAATTTGGTATAATACACAACCTACTTGCTAGAATAAAAATATTTTTTAAAGATTGTTGTACAAAAATTAACTAGTTTATTGTTTTATATAAAAATTTAATGAGTTACAAATAAGTAACTAAATAGTAAAAGTATGTAAATTAACCACGTGGGAACAATATATACAAAAATACTTATTTTAATAATCAAATAAGTTATTACAGAGAAGTATTCAAACACTATCCCTCTAAGATCGACCACTGTTATCCAGAAAAGAACAACACTTGTAATATGTAATATACTCTTATATATATCATTAAATAAAAATAAAATACTTTTTTAGGAATTGGTTCATCAGACCGACGTATTAAAGGTAAAACTACTTTAGGTTTTTCATTTGACACTTCATCAGTTTTTAATTTTCTTTTAAGACCTTTTTTAGCCATTGCCTGCAAATAAATAGTATCACTTAGTAGAAAAGTACTTTATATTTAATAAATAAATACTTTACAGCTCATTTTTATTTTATATAAATATAATACAAGTGCTTAAAGAAATATTAACTTACATATAAAAATAAAACTAATACAACTATTTAAAGACTCAAAATTTATAATTTATAATAATAATATACTAAAAGATTATTTTAATGTTTTCCTCAGTATAACACGTGCTCGTATTAATATACTGATAAGATTTCTTGTGTAATATTGTTTGATACAAGATTCTACAATTTAAAAGATAAAATATTTTTTCATTATTTGGTTATTACCAACATAACATAAGGGTTCTGTTTACTATCTATGACTCATAGAATAAAACAAATTTTTTTTTATTATATTCAAATTTCATTTTTCATATTTTAATATTTTAAATTCAACTGAACTGCTACATAATTTCTAGTATCATTAATATTTGGTCTTATTTATATGAAGTATTAATATTATATAAACTATTATATAATTAAATAAATGTTAAATGTTATATCTAACATACAATTATTTTTATATGAACTGAAGTAATTGACCACAAATATGAAAATTTAAAAGGCGTTTATTGAGTAGTACTAAGCAAATATTTTATTTAAACCTAAAATAAATATTTACCTACTTCTTATCTTCATGAACCATAAATTCAATTACTAAATTTAACCCAAAATAAATAACTTATTTTACCTCACATTAAAAAAGCTTAAATAATTTGACGGTTAATATTAAAAACATATTAAAATACTATTTATTATAATCTAATATTAAGAATTTATAAATAGAAAGAATTTGCGCCTTTACATAGTTGCAATTTCACGTTTAGTCTTTGATAAGTTTAAACATAATATTTTCATAAAATGTAACATTTCCTGTCTTCAAAGCAGAAATAATTTATTATATAATCAATTTAGGGTACACTTAAACATCTTTCAATTTATTTAATACATTGATGCTCAACTATTTAAACATTAATTAGCCTATAGAAAATTAAATTAATAAGGTTTAGAGGAATACTTACACTCTGCTTTTCTCTTCTTGCCGTTATATCATATATGAACGGCAAGGTTTTTTCTAATTAAGATAAAAATCCAACGGGTTTTACTGATAATAATACATTTATTTTTAGTTTTTTTTTTTTTTAAGTGCTATATTTACATAGAATCAACTTTTGATTTTACTTCATTATGTCATCATATACACAAGGAACATAAGGAGGTCTACAAGTAATGCCTGTTAGCAAAATCGCAATTAAAAAAATATTTTAGAGGGGCTTATTTTATCTAATTTTCCTCTCTAAAATTTCTTTTTTCATAATTATATATATTGTTTTTTTAACATTTTGTAGGGATTGAATTTAAAATTAAAGGTGCTAAGCTTCTCCAAGACCCCTTCCATAATTTATGCAAAATTGTACTTTATAAGCACAATAAAAGTAAAGTAAAAATTGACAAAGGTGGTTGTAGAAGTAAATTTCTTCTCCTTCCTAATTAAGTATAATTTTTTGTGTGTGGAAAAAAATGGATAGAAAGATGAGAGGAGTTAAAGCCCCTCTTCCCTTTTTGAACCCTTTGAGTATAAACAACGAAAATGGTCTAGGCAAACCTGTGTTTAGGGAAGTCTATATCTACATCTGAGAGAGAGTAGGGACAAATCCATTTTTATAAACATTAAGGCTATGTAGTTTCCTTTGTGAAATTTTAACGCGAGCCTTTTTACTTTTTGTCATTTTAGATCTACGACGCTATACATATATGTATATATACTACTTAAGTATATATTTAGTCAAATAAATATTCAGATATCGTCTGGAAAATTAATTTCCTTTTTGAATTGCCATTGTCTTATAGACCTTTAAGTATGATCATCACCATTAGAAAAATGTTCGAAAATCATATGTACAATTAGAATAAAATTAAAATTTAACAATATCCTTAAAAATAATAATGAAGTCTGCTAACATATTTTTCACAAAACCTGTAGTAAAAAAGAACCATAATGTTTATGCTCTATTAGAGATTGCGAGTCTTAGATTGAAGATATCTATGGTTTTATTTATTCAATTTCTATAGAGTAAGAGGACAATTTTGAAGAAAAAAAAATATATATATATATTTATATATTTATTTATACATAATTATATATTAAGTATACAAAATGAAGAGGAATAAATCTTTTTTTAAGAACACGAACGTTAATTTTTAATCTTTAATCAAAACTGGATAAACGTCATATACTTCTCCTCAAAACATCATTACCTCATTGATATTACTTATAATCTAAGTATATCTAGTACAAGTGTACATCTGATATATACTTGATTTTGGTGTTCGTCTATTTTAATAAAAAACAAGTGTATTAAGTATTTTATCAGAATAATAATTACTTAATTTGTTTAAATTTATTCCAATAAATATATAGATGACAACTCAACGTAGTTCGCATTTTATAGGTACCCGAAATCTTCAAAATAAAAAAAAATATTAAACCATAGAACAATAAATATTAATAATTTTAATAAAGTATTACAGTTTTAGTTTGTGTAGTATAAATAAGAATAATTATTGAAAAGTAAAAAGTTATGTTTGTTATGATGATAAACTTGATTAATAGGAAACCCATGCCATGTTACATAAGTTTTGAGTTATTAATATTTCTAGAATTTATATATTTTTCAAAGTTAGAAGTTCAAACACGTTAAGTATAAGATTTAAATGCCTTCCTTTAGACTTTTATTTGGTTTTTTAGCTCTTTGTGTTTTTATATTTATTGAAAGGTAAATATTGAATAAATTAATTATATCAAACTTAATTATATAAAACCAATAGGTTCTACATGTTTCAAATCAATAAAACAGAATTCAACATCTTGGGGGCTACAGTGTACTTGGTTAAAGAATTATCTATCGGCTAGTAATTTTATTGAACATTCATCTAGTAAAATTACATAATAGTATTAGAAGTTTATCAGTTTTTTCCGGCTATTAAGAACTACAGTCGTTATAAATATTAAGTTTTGTTGTTAATAGCTCTTCCTTTGTAATCAGCCGTCGATGCAGCTTTATTTTATTATTTCTATTTTATGTCAAATGTATTGGTCGATGACTTGAAAGATATGATAATAACCTGATAATAATTATTAGTATATAAGTGGTGAAACGATTGTGTGCGACGTAATTATTTATAATGTGAAACGCAAGTTGTCGACGAGGAAATGTTATTGATATGATGGAGAGGGTTGGAGAGGGGAAAAAGGTTAACAATTCGCCAACCCGCAGCGTTGATGCTTGTTCGTTGGTTGCTGGTCAATATATCTAATGTGCAGCCGCGCCGCAATGCCTTTGAACCTAGGGGTTCCCAAAAATAACAGCGGAAGGACTTTTACCATGTTGGTAGTACAGAAATTTGTTTCTTCTGTTATTTAAAGACTTCTCCTTTTTAAATAGTCGTCTAATCCTAATGTTATTTTCAATTTTATCTAACTTAATGACTCGAATAGTTTAGGCATATTTTCTTAAAAAGCTAAACCTATTTGACCATCGTTAAATAACTGTCTACTTTGTCGTGGAAGAGAGGTAAGTCATCTCATAGGGAATATCTTTAGAACTGAACTTGAAGTTCGAAATCTTTAGTAATTGGGCTATTGAGAGTTTCTTGGAAAATATGTTTTAATTACGTAGGGAGGACAATTATCACGGAGGAGCAAAATATGAAAATATAGTGAACTGAGCGCGCGAGTCATAACTACCGACGGTGGTGAGAAGATGGCGTCAACGTTGGCAGCAGTGGTGCACCGATAGCACAGCCAGCCATATAAATATAAAGTCATTGATGATCATGCGTGTTTTCGTTCACTGAAGAAAGTCTTCGTCGTCACCCATCGCCGTCGCTTCGGCTGAATGTTGCTGTTCGAGTTTGTCTTCTACAGCAACAGCGCCGTTGTCCGTTTGTAATCAGTCCGTTTTAAGATTTTAGTTCTTAAAAATCTATTCTAGTGTGAAGCTAATTGATATATTCTGTCCCTGTTTAGGTAATTCTACTGTCATCTTAGGAATGTCCTCTTTATTTTAAGAAATGATGTAAGAGTTCAAGGTAAGATTAGTGTAGTTGTTACCAATCAATTGTCAATGTTTTGGGTAGTTGTTTTTCCACTCAGTTTTATTAGAATTTTGTGTAAATAACTTAAAAGCGTTCTATTACACTTATTTTTTAAAATGAACGAATAGTTCATTAGTGGTTACTTTAACTAAGCACACACATAATGTTGTTTTTGTTATCAACTTATTTGTTGTCTTTTCAATAGGTCATTCAATACTTAGTTAGCAAGTTCTGTGTATTTATTAAAGAATTATTGATTTGTCATGTAATTTTAGTAGTTTATTCTATTTCAGAATCTAATACAGTTCAATTACATGAAAATTTGTTTGAAAATAATTTTATATAGTTTTATATTGCAATGAACTAAGTATTTTGTTTCATTTACCAAAATCATGAAATATTTCATTAGTTTCTTGCATTTATACATTATAAACTTACAGGTTCAAATTAATGATCTTTATAACATGTATTTATTGAGTATGTAATTTTAAACTAGTGACTTAAATGTTGTCTATTATTAATGATTTGTGTATTATTATTATTTTTTAGAGTAAGTATACTTTAAATTCTTACTCAATTACATAGTTATTGATAACATATTTAAGTAATTTTTATAGTGCATATGTTATCTTATTTATATATTTTCTAAAACTATAATTAGGTTTTGAATTGTTTTAATTTAAAAAAATAATTTTTATAAAATTTATATAAAAGTTATGATTGAATTATATTTTTATCAACTTATATTTTTATTATTTTTTAAAGTAATATTGGATTTTTCACAAGTCTAACATGAGCCATTTGAAAGATGGGAGAAATAGTCGACCTGATATTCAAGAAATTTTATCTAGGATGAAAAACCGTTTTATCAATGAAGCTGATTCTGATAATGAAGAACATCCTGATGATATTAATTCTGGAATGACCAATGTTATTCAAAATAATATAAAAGTAGATGTTGAAAAAAGTCCAGATGACGAGATTGCTGAACTTATGTTAAAATTAAATGGCCAAGTTGATGAAGAATTGGTAGCAAGTATAAGATCTCGAAAAAAAATGTATGAAACACAAACTGAAGCTGATAGTACATCCTTAAACACATCTAATATTAAGAAAGAGGCCGTTGAACCTGTTGTTGTCAAACCCAGAATTATTCTTACATTAAGACCAAATGAAAATAAGCCTGATTCATATGTAAGCTCAAGTAATCTAACAGACTACAGTACAAATTCTTATTTAAAGAAAAAAAAATTAGATGAAACTTCTTTCGAAACTCCTCCTTTAAAAAGATCTTCAAGAAGATCTAATGACAGTAATCAATCAGTTTTAAAATCAGCTATTGCTCGTAAAGAAAAAACTTTTAACATGGAAACAAACTCAAAAAAAAAATTGGTGACAAAAGTTAAAAAAGAACCAACTGTAGAACCTGCTGATTTTACTGTTTCAAAAATAGAACTATCTGAAGAAACCGAGAATTTGAAAGATTTTAATAAAAAAAAAAATATTTTTGAACCCAAAAAGAAAAAAAAGAAATTTTTTAGAGGAGGAAGATATAATATATTTAAAAAAAAATCAAATCCAAAAGATCGCAAAAATAATATAAAAAAAAATGTTTCAAGTCATATGAGTTCAGATTCTGCATATTTTGATAATGATACATCTGAAACTTATTCGGAGAGACATTCAATGTCAGGTATGTTTTCATAAGTCTGATAGATTTTTCTAGATTAAAATTAACATTAATTTTTACATTTTTTAGTGTCAAGTGATTTTGGTACTGTGTCTAATGATAGAACTTATCAAGATGAAGTAGATAGCAGTGTACTATCAAATAATGATATAGAAGGTATTTTTAATTTATATTTTTTATCAAAACAAACTTTTTATGCAATCTCTTTGATTAAAAACAAATTTTTCTATTTAGAAAAAACTTTAGATTTTAGTCAAAGACTACAGGACAACAATCACTTATGTTTATGTTATAAAAATATTGAAGTTATTGTAGTTGATGAAGGTAAAATTATTTGCAAAGCTGAAGATTGTGTTGATGGTAAAATCGTAACTTGTATGAGATTAGCTTTTCATCTTGATAATTATGGATATATGCCTATGCTCCGAGCAAATGTTGCATTACCTTTTTTAACTCTTTGTGCTCATCATATGAAACGGTTTTTTTTGCATCATAGCTGCCCACGTTGTGGAAAGTTTTGCTCTGAGGTAAGATTAGTTACTTATTTCAGTAAACTAAAAATGTTAACCTTAATCCTTGAAATTTATCAACTAATTAATTCTTTATATTTAAAATTGTATATATGTGTAAGAATTTATATAGTTAAAAAAATATATTTATTTTTATTGATCTTAAATGAAGCTTAGTATTAAAGAACAACCAAATTTAGTTTTTTACAATGAAAAATATTACATACAATTTTATTATTGCTAACTAACTAGAAAATCTAAATTTTAGTTTTATGTGCCTTTTGTTTTTAACACGCTTATATTAGTTTCACATGTATTTAATCTTCAAATTGTTTAGTACAACATTTTATGCATCCTGTTAAAATTGAAATATTTTATAAGATTAAAATGTAGATAATAAATTATCTAAGAACTTTCAAACATTTATTAAAAAATAAATAAAATTATTAGAATTTTAAAAAGAAAATAGAAAATCATGCTTTCGAAAAACAGGCTAAATTTTAATAATTTAAAATATATTTAATATTAATATTTTTGAAATGTTAATAATTTTATGGTAGTTTCAATTGAAAAAAACACATAGTAAAATTATTTTCTCAGCTTTGCATCGAAACTAATAAAAATATTAGAAAAAAAAAAATATATATATACAGTGAATATCTGTGCATATTTTTTCTTTTTCCAGGGAATATTTATGATGTGTAAAAATAAACATTTCTTTCATATTGGTTGTCACCAAAAAGACAAAGGATGTCTTCATTGTGGAACAATTGATGTGTATGACCTGGAGCTACGAAAATGCATAAAAATTAAAAAATCGAAGACAAAAAATAAGAATTATGTATCAAGAATGACAATAAAAGTAGGTCATGAAAAGTTGACTACAGATAATTGTCCACCAGAAATTGATTTGTTAGAATTTTCTAAATATTTACAAAAACTTCAAAAAGAAATGTGTGATTCTAGTCGCACTATGTAAGTAGTTTCATTATTACTATTTTTTATTAAATTTAATTATGAAATGCGAGTTAAATTGATTGTTTTCTTAATATTGATTATTTGATTTTTGTTAAGAGCCTACTTTCTAATATAATAGTCAGTAATTTTATATTGATAAATTATTAAAGAGTATTTTAAATTATATGATTAAAATCGGTATTCTTATTATTTTTTTGGAATGTATAAATATTAGTATAATATTTCATTTATAGGTACTCAATTCATGGATTGTATCAGGCATGTGAGTCAAATGATGTTGAAATGGTTTTATCAATTTTGGGTAAATAAACAATTTAATAATGTTAAAGTATAGCAGATAATATTTTTAATTTTTATTTAAGGTGCTGGTGGAAATCCTACATATTTATTTAAAGATCATCAAAATCGTATTGCATTACATGCTGCATGTATTGAAGGGAATTTAATGCTAGTTCACATTCTCCTTCAAGTTGGCAGTGATCCTAATCATATTGATGAAAAAAAAAAAACTCCTTTAAGAATGGCTGCTAAATTTGGTCATTTTAAAGTACTTGAGTTACTTTTGAAAAAAAATGGTGCTCCTGAAATCAAAGTAAATTTTAATGTACTATTTATTTTTAAAATGAATAACATTAAATTTTATTTAAAGGACTCTCAAGGTATGACTTCATTACATCTAGCCGCTAAGCATGGAAGATTAGAATGTTGTCGTTTAATTGTAAAAAAAAGACCATCCATGATAAATTGGAAGGATAATGGTGGGTGGACTCCTCTTGTATGGGCTTGTGAAAATAGTCATATAGATGTTGTGAAGTAAGAACAATATTTAAAAAAAATAATAATTATTTCAATTATTGAAATTTATGTGATATTCAAAACAATTTTATTATAGATTCTTTATTAGTTGTAACCCAAATACTAGAATATCTGATGATGAAAATAATGTAGCTTTACATTGGGCAGCAATATCAGGATGTTTGGGAGTAGTTAGAGCTTTAGTTGAATATGATACTGAAGTTAACATGGTCAATGATGCTGGAGATACTGCTCTGTAAGTTTTTTTTTTTTTAACTCTATTATGAAATTAGTAACCTTTATACAACATAATTAATTTTGTCTTATTGGAAGATCTTATCACTCATAAAAGATATGATTTGTTGATTGCTAATGTAATTGTACTTTTGGATTAGTTCAAATTCAAAAGCTTTGAGGGTACCTATTTTAATTTTTAATGTGTATACTCATAGCTAAATTGACTTTAATAGTAAATTGAGTCACACAATATACTTCTATTCCTGTATAAAAATTAATTTTTATCATTTTTCTTATGTGTAAAACTTGATTTACAGCCATATAGCTGCTAGAAAATCTGCTACTGACATTGTTTCATTCCTTTTAAGTCAAGGTGCTATGGCTTATCACCGAAACAAGAGCAAAAAAAAACCTATAGACTACTGTTTACCAAACACAAAATGCTATAATTTGTTGAAAAACATCTCAATTGATCAAAGAAAATCAGTAACAGCTATTAAGCCTCTGAATGTTGTGAAACAAGAAACTTTAGATAAGGTTTTAGTTGAAAATAATAAAGTGTTTATTAAAAAAAAACCTGTTGTTGTGTCTGAGTATGTCAATTATTTTTTTAAATAAAAATTTAAATTTAATATTAATTTTTTTTTCTTACAGTGATATTACTCACGGCTGTGAAGAAATACCTATAAGATGTGTTAACGAAATAGATGATGAAGTACCAGTTGATTTTACATATATTAAAGAAAATTGTTACGATGTGGGAAATTATGTTGATTCAGCTATGTCTCATATAGCAGTAAGTTAAAACTTAAAATTCTTTATTTCAAGTTAAATATTAATAAATCTTTTTTAATAGAGTTGTAATTGTGAAGGGGCTTGCAATACCAATGCTTGTAAATGTGTACAAGCTAATGGTGATTGTTTATATGATGAAAATGGACGTCTTAATTCTGAATTTGATTATTTCAGTAAGTAAAGCTAGTTTAAAATTTAACATTGTCAATTAATATTGTGATTTTTATTTAATAGATCCAAGTGTAATTTTGTATGAATGCAATTTACGCTGTAAATGTCATAAACAGCGATGTGGCAATAGAGTTATCCAAAAAGGTATTAAAGTAAAGTTAGAACTATACAGACATGTTGGAATGGGGTGGGGGGTACGAACTCGTCAAGTTATTCCTCGTGGGACATTTGTGTGCGAGTAAGTGTTATTATTATATCAAAATAATTTCATTACAATTTAATTTTATCATATATTTTATACATTTATAGATATGTTGGAGAAATTATTACTGATCAGAAAGCTAATAGACTGAAAGAAGATTCTTATTTATTTAATCTAGAAAATCCTGTTAGTCTATTTTTCAGTAATCTAAATGAAAATAATTTTAAGTGTTTTTTTTTAAGAAAAATGATTAATTCTAGGGTGCTACCGAGTTATATTGTATAGATGCCTTTAACTACAGTAATGTATCACGATTCATTAATCATTCTTGTGATCCAAATCTTATGTCTGTACGTTCATTTATTAATCATCATGATAAGAGATTTCCGAGAATTGCCTTTTTTGCTGTGCAAGATATTTCAGAGTTTGAACCATTAAGGTATATCTCATGTATACGTTACAAATAATTTCTTATATGTTTGTATTATTTTAGTTACGATTATGGGACAGCGTTTTGGAAAGTCAAGAGTAAATTTTTTACATGCCAATGTGGTAAAGCTAATTGTTCCTTTTCTGATGAAGCTTTGAAAAATTTTCATATTGACTCAGATACTGAAGAAATGGAATATGATGAAAATAAAGAACATGATTTAAGTGATGATATTGAACTTTCTGAAGATGACTTTTCATCTCAAGATAATGAATTAGAAGATACTTGTCAAAAACAACTATCTGAACATAGCGGCTTGTTTATAAATACATCTAATTTCACCAAAAAAAAATCTAATGAATTAAATAATACAATAATTCATAAAAAGTTATTAGGAAAAAGTAAAATTATTTTCCCTGATCTTACCACAAAAGATAGTTCCTCCAATGTACCAGAACAATTTTTGAAAATATCTGATAAATTACAAAACAAGTTTTTAGAGTCTAAGTTGATTCAAAATAAGTTTCAGCAAGCTATGACTGAAAAAGATTTTAATCAGAAACCAATTAATGGTAAGTCAAGTCCAGCAATAGGCAAAAAAGTATTGATCACCAGACAAAAGCTTGATTCTAACTCAATTACAAAAAATCGACTTAGTAGTATTAATAAAGTAACACCACTAACAACTAATAAAATTATAACAACATATGTTTTAAGACCTCAATCCCAAACAAAAGATATATCGGAAAGCATAAAAGTAATTCCAAAAGAAATAATACTTAAGTCAAGTGATATCAGTGTTCAAAATGTTGTTAAAATACAATCTAGTGCAGTAGATAATAAAACAGCTAACCCTATTGACGAATCAATATGTGAAGAATATATAGAAAATGTAAAACTAGAACTTAATGAGGATTTGTACGGGGCATCAGAAATTTCAGAAATAGATTTGAGTATTATAAATAGTGATGACACACTTCTAGAAAATAATGATAACTCTTGTATATCTGGTGAAGAGTTTAATGACATGAAAAGTGTCATAGCATTAGAATCAGATAGTAGTTACAATCAGGAAAACTTAAAAAATATTAACCAAGAAGACTGGACATCAAGATCCTCTTCATTAGAACTGTAGATAAGTGTGAACCACTACCTTGTTATATAGCTAACAAACGGGTTTGATAGTTTTAACTATCTAAATTAACACATTTGATGAAAATCATTCATATAGTTGACTCTGAATGTTGAGTAAAAGTTTACATATTAGTTAGAAGATAAACAAAAAAATGTTTAATGAACCTTTATATTTTTAGAAAAAATATTAAGATTTTGAAAAGTTACATTAAAGTGAAATAAAGACTCTAAAGCCATACTGGACAATGCATTAAGAATATATTTGAAAGAAAGTGTTATAACGTGTTGTCTCTTAATGTGTGTGTAATTTACAAATACATTTATTTAAGTAGTTGTATATTTTATTTTCTGAAATATTTGCAGCTCTAGTCATTAGTCTTCCTCTATCTAGTAAAATTAATTTGTAAGAAAATACTAGCTAATGTCTTTGAACACGTCTTTACTTTTTAGTGTAATTGATACTATTCCTCCAAATTTGTTTAACAACTAATTTAATGATTTGTATAAATATGTAAAGCGTAATACTTTTGTAAATTACAAGATAAATAGATAACGTTTGTTAACATAATATTTGTTATTTAATTTATTATTGATTTGTAAAGTAATTTTTCAAGTATATGTTAATTTTAACTTAAATGTGTTCATGTCATATACAAAATGAAAATTGTGTAAATTACATAATATTATCACAGTTTATTACTTCATAAGACTTTATATTGTATTTTTGTATTTTCTATTAAAAGTCTGTTGTAATAAAGTGCTTCTAAGTAAGATTAGTTAAATTTTTTATTTAAAAGTTAATTTAATTTATTGTTATTTTTAGCTAATATACTATTTTTTTTTTTTTGTATTCATTTACTAAGTGTCATTTATATTTTTAATAGTTGGTTATAAAATATTTTTCTTAATTTTAAATTACTTCACCTGCTTAAAAATATCATATGTTTTTAAGCAATAGAATTCATAAGTCTACTATTAGATATATTTAAAGGTTTCAACTTAATTTTTGAAGTTTTTAGAGTTACAAGTATTATGTAAAAAGAACTATAATTTTATTCAAGTGAAATTTATCTACAACTCTTGTTAATTTATTTAATAGATTGTCTACAAATAGTGATTGAACATGATATTTTTCAAAAATTATATTTTGCATAATGTAATCATTAACTTTGATTATTGTGATATTATGTTTAGATATTGCTATATTTAGGAATTTTTAAAGCATTTAGAAAAAAATCACAATTTTTTATTAATTTTGGAACAATATTTTCGATTTATTCTATAACAAAATACAATTTTCGTTCCTAAAGCTATAATTAATTAACAAGAAAAATGTAATTAATTTTTTGTTACATTGGTGTTTAAAATTAACTAAGCAATACGTTATGAAAAGAATTCTATAATGGTCAAAATTGTTAGATTTATTGAATAAAATTAAATTTTTTAAAGAATAACGTTTACCATCTCTACAAATTTATATATCAAGAAATTTTTAAAAGTTAATTACCATCGCATGTGATTAAATGTTATGGGATTAGGGGATATGTCCCTTCAGTTTATATACCCACAGTTTTATACAATTGATATTTTCTGTATACAAGAAAGCATTTTGTATATACTAAATTCATTTAAAGGTCATTATAATCCTAGGGTTATAACAAGAAGCTTCTTGTAGTTAGACTATTAATATAATTTTCATAAAAAACATATTAAAAGAAAGCTAATAGTTAGCTTTTCTAATAGATATACTAAAGAAAATTATTTCCTAGTACATTCTATTAATGTTTTGTTAGGTTTAAAAATAGTTGTAGCTGTTTAAAATGCAAATATTTTTATTTTAAATTACCGTTTTTCACAGTAGCGTAATTTTAAGATACTTTTTAAAATTTTAAGGAGATTTTTCCATTTTTGACAGTGGTAGGTTTAATTAGATTAAAATGGGGTTCTTTTGACGTATCGATCATTAAAATCGGTTGGGTTTTCATGGTAATTTTTATGTATAGTCATAAAAAAATGGGTACTATCACAAAACCAATGTCTTTTTAGCTTTGCATTGAAATTAAATACGTAAAAACACATTATCAATAATTATTATTAAACATTTTTTGATGCTATTATATAAAAATTGAAATTTTAATGAAAGTGCTGTTGCAGCTAATGTAACGAAAATTTGTAAAATGATAATAATTGTAAAATTTTCATTACGTTAAAATTCAAGTTGTATAAGGTATTCATTTTAAAATGATACATCATTCTTTACTTAAAGAAAACGGGATACTCGATAGTATACGTATATGTGTTACGTTTATAAGTTTCTGGTACAGATGACGAGCTATTGGTCATTGTAAAAGGTTGCGTTTTTTTTTCTTCTTCTATTGTGTCTCAAATCCTTTTTCTTTTTTCGGAAACCTTTTTTCATTTAACTTATTCTTTTATATAACAGTCTCCCTATACACAAAGATAAGACAGTGAATGTTTTCAAATATTAGTATTTTAGTGAGCTGAAAGAGAAAAAAAATGTAGTAAGAATAAAAAAATATATAGAACACGTACTTTTTTATGAGTGAAAAACATTTACGGTTAATGAGTTAAAATAAGTATGAATTTAAAAAAAGTACATTGCAGATCCAGCAAAATGGAGTCTATTAATTTTTTTTATTAGGATTGATAGATATCTAAAATTAATTAAAATTGCTGTCATTAAATGCTTCAATGTGTATTTGAAACTAATTTAATAAAAATTAACATATCCACTAAAAATTATGATTTTCGACATTAGAGTCTGATTGGTCATAGAAAACAATTCGTCAGAATATCTATTTTTTTTAATTATATAAATAAACTATAACATATAACTTTAGTTTTGAACGATGTAGATATTCTACTGCTATATAAAACACTTTAAAATCCACCAATTTTGAAAAAAAGTATGATTTTTGTATTAAATGGCCAATTATTCAAAGATACAATATTTTCAAATAGTTCTTTTTTTAAATATATTGTATTAGCATTAATTTTACATAAGCTCAATAACACAGCTTGTAAATCAGTTCAATAAAAGCAGAGTAGTTATGTGTAATGAAATGAAAAAAATATGACGGAGTAAAGACAGTAGCTTTNTAGTCATGTGTAATGAAATGAAAAAAATATGACGGAGTAAAGACAGTAGCTTTTTAGTAGTGCATCAAAGCTAAAATAATAATCACACTTTTAAATAGAAACTATCAACTGTCGTAATATACTCGTCACTACCGTAACATGGGATATTTATACATTATATTTATATTCTTAAAAGAACATAATATTTTTCAATCAAAAAATTTAAATAAACATTTAAGAGAAATATTCAACAAACGCATATTGTTTAGTTATATTTTAATGCACACAATTCAATCATAAATCAATAAATAGTCACTTTTAAAATCACTCTTTCTGAGAAGAACTCTATAAATTATATTTGTTATCTATTTCTTTATTCTAATTTTAATAATTAAACGCATTGTATCAACCCTAATCTTAAGTATAAAAAACCATGTTAATGTTATATAAAATGACAAAATGATTTGTATACTATTTATCTGTAATAATTTCTAATTTTAAGTTTACTTATCAATAAACAGTTATTCTGTAAGAATAAGACAATGATGATTTTTGGGGATACAAAGTATTATAAAAAGGTAGAGCAAACCCTTACTCTGGTCTGTTCTTATCGTGTTCTAGCCAACCAAACGCGAATATTGTGATCGTCATTGACGAAGTTTTTACGTATTAAAGTTATGAACTAAATCGAATTATGTTATTTTATTTATCAATCATTGATTAATACAATTATTTAAGATATAAGAACCAAGAAAAATTATCAGGTAAGATTTTAACAATCAATAAGAGTCGATATTTATGTTATTTTATAACGCTCCTCAACCACACCCCGAATTAAAAGTAACTTTCAATTTTATCCTACTCATTTTCTCTTTATTTTATTAAGTTTAATAATAAGAAGTTAGTTACAAAAATGGAACAATTGAGAGTCAATGAACGGTTACACGTTTAGACAAATGAGTAATGTAATTTTTGGAAAAATGATTAAATTTTTTATTAAACATATATATTATTTTAGAATTTAAGATTTTACAAAATGTTATCATTTGATAATGAGTTGATAGTGTAATGATTATGTAGCCCGTTAAATTTGTTCAGATTGACAATTTTATTAAACAGTCAGTTACCATTGGATATATTATTTGATATTCTCGTACTAATATAGTTCTAAACTTTCACAAAGCATATAATTAGTAGTTTCCACAAGTTAAATGACAAGTTACCCATTATGTTAAAACGCCTATTTACGCATAAACAATATAAATCATAAACTAATCGAAAGCTGTTTTGGTGACATTTGCAATATTAAATCGTTAAGAAACTTTGTCAAAAGTGTTAACCTAAAAACACTGAGTCATAAAAAAACACTTTTATTATACATTTTTGAGATTTAAGCTAAGGAAATTGTAAACTTTAAACTGTGACTCTATTATCGCATCTAAGTTTTATCATATAATTTAATTTATCAAGATAATTTTTAGAAAGGGATAAAACAATTAAGTGGCAACCAAATTGTCATAAATATAAAAAATCAATATTATGTATACTGAACTAATATATTTAGTTCCATACCATCAGACCATATTTAAGAAAAATTAACAAGTGTATACATTTATAATATACCTCGCTTCAGGCCATTTGATCACTATTTATTTGAGTTCAGTTGTTACCACAATCGGAACTGTGGTTGTTAATGTGGTCGAAAACAAATATCAAAAACGTAAAGAGGAGCAAATAATTTATACCAATTAAATTATTTACTTCGATTAACCTTTGGGCTTATTTGAATGGTGAAAACAGTTCTCTAGAGATACTATTGTTTACATTTAGTCTACTTTAAATTTTATAAATAACGAAACTCCAAGACTTATTCTGCATAAATATAATTGATTTTATCGTCTTTTAACTTTAAAAAACCTATTTTGTTTTCACAAATTGCTAAAGTAATAAAACTATTACTAATTGCAAACTGGTAATACCAGCTACTCTTGGCTGGTACACAATTTGTCAGAAAATGTCTATATTTTAAATAGCTGTGTCTCTCTGATAACCGGTTGCGATGCTTGTTGACGCCACTGCTTATCAATTTATCACAGGTATGCCTTAAAGCGGTGTTTTATTACGGGAGGTTAAAATTTTACCATTTTATATTACAAGTAAAATAATATGATATTATTGTAATTTAAATAATGGTTCATCATTATTAAAAATGTTGTTCGCAGAAAAAAATTACCAGGTTTTTTGCAAGAAATTTTGTTTCCTACTCTTGAAAAATGATTAAGAAAACTGTCCCTTTATTGCACGGAAGAAAATATTATATAGTTTAATTTAATAAAGAGTCAAACTAATTTTTAGTAAAAAAAAAAAAAGTAACCTGTGCAGTTAGACCAACTATAATATTTTGTAGAAAATACTAAATAACTAAACTTAACAATTTTTTATAGTTGATTTAAGTTTATGAATTACTTTTCTCCTTATTGTATAATTGGTTTGTTACTTTATTAATCAAAATAATATGATAATAATGTTGGTCCATAAAATATACGGTGCTACATATTTTA